TATCTGTCCATTCAACCATTCCATCCATCGATCCATTTCAGAAAAACTACACCACACTTACAAACTCAATAATTAAATACACACACACACACACACACACACACACTGTCTGCAGTGCTCTCAGTTACAAGTGTGCACAACACAAGGGGCCAGGTGGCAGAGGGGTGCGACATTCCCATACACGATCGGCTGCCACATCACAAAATGTCCATCGATGCACACACTGCATCTCCCAGAATGCCTCACCACTCACCCAGGTGTAGGTATTTAAGCCACCTAATTAAAGCAGGACTGAAGAGCTGCACAGAGGAGAGGGGCAGCAGGACAGAGAGGGGCAGCAGGACYGAGAGGGGCAGCAGGACYGAGAGGGGCAGCAGGACAGAGAGGGGCAGCAGGACAGAGAGGGGCAGCAGGACAGAGAGCACACGGCTGGAAAGAGCTCGTCAAACAAAGTCTGACTGGCCAACATGCAGGAAAGTACAGAAACAGACTGAGAACTACTAAGAGACATGCTAACCAGAGTTTTAATTTTATTTTATTCTGTTGAGTTTGAAGAACATTTTTCTCTGGGATGTTTGTTGCTGGATTTTGATTAAGATAATTACCTGAGTAGCCTGTTTATCGAAGAATAAAACTTCACCTTCCTTTTTGAACCTTTGATTGTTTTGTTTTTTTGTTATATTGCACTACCCCACCCTGGCCTGCCCTATTGACCTCTCATGACATTCACACACACACAGGCAATTTAATCATTGCTTGTAATAGACTTGTGTAAATTTACAGAGTGAACAATGTCTAACTTGGTATTTCCACAGACTAGACTACTGCTTTGGAAAAAGTGCAATTATGTGTTTGTTTGAGTCTGCTGCTTATTTAAACCCGCCTGGTTTGTTTAATGGGCAGTGCAACTGTAAACAGCGTGAATGCCACCAATGTCTCATGGTTCTTCAGGGTGGCTGAAAATAAATTAGAGCATTGTTTGTCAGTGAGGGAGTGATAGCTGCGGAGATGGAGAGAGACTGAGGAGGTTAAAAAACAAACACTTGCATGTCTTTGTTTAACAATATCACTGCGACTCATGTCAGCAAACTACCAGCTGCTACCGGCCTACATGCACATCAACACCTTCAGTGACGTGGTGTAAAAAATTACTCCACCCAGAATTCAACAGTGGTGCTATACAGTCAAATATAATTTACAGGAACAGCAAGAGGAAGTAGGTAAGAAGAATTACTGAGAGCATCATATATATATGAGATGTATTAACTGCAGGAGGTTGTATTCATGGCTATTTTCTCGGTTGCGAGGGTTTTTAGTGTTGCATCCTATTGTCATGGAAATCTCTCAAAAGATGTGACAGACATTTAGGGCAGTATCAAACCTTTTCCACTGGGAAAAAAAAAAAAATTGAGCCGTAATTGCTTGCACACGTGGGTTGCTATGCATTCTCTGTGGTTGCTTGAGCCCAGGAGCAGGCACGGAGTCAATGTTTATGGGTTGTAGCTGCTGAAAAGAACACAATGTTACACAGGGAAGGTTTGCACACGCAGAGCAGAAAAGAGGCCTAATCAGAAACAGTGAAAACCTCTGTGTAACAGTGGTCTTTAAAGGGATAGGTCACCCCCCCAAAAAAATGAAATGTCCACAAAACACTTTTGGATCTTCAGGGGTAAACTGGGTTTCAACCAAATTCAATACAATTGGGGGGAAAAAAACAAAAAAAATGGTGAGCACTTCTTCAAACAAAAAACAGCAGCAGTAACGAGGTGGACAGCAACTGACATTTTGGCTAAAAATAAAGCTGTTCTGAGTTGGATTTGACTCTTATGCTTACAAACACTTTGACACCACAGCAGCAGTATAGAGGCATTTTTTAATTTTTGGGTGAACTATCCCTTTAACATCCACAATGCTGCCTCATGGTACAAATTATTACAATGTGAATCAGATATAATCTACACAAACCTAGAAATCAACATTGGTCTGTAACAGCAGCATCTTTACTGTATCAATCAGCTCCATTAAAACAACCAGTAAAAACATCAGTGGTGTTTCTGAGGTCACATCGCACATGGTTGGACAAATGAACGATGGCCCCTTGAGGCCAAACGAATCAATTTGGAACACAGGAATGCACCAGGTTGTCCTGCTGATGGAAAGCACATTTTGTCAAGCACAGTACTTCAGAACAGCTTTGTTTGTTGAAATGTTTACTTCCCCACATTTAGAGTGAAAACTATAGATGACCAACATTTATTTTCCCCTTCTACATTGACACAGGTCGTAATCCAGCTGGCGTGGAGCGCACGGATCTTTGTGGAAGTTGGATCTTATCAGTGGTGTTCTGGTGATGGGGGGGGTCGTCCTCCAGGATCTCTCTGGCTTGTTAGAATTCTGCAGCTCACTTCACCATACTGTAAGAAGGGGCCATATGTCCTCAAAGACCTCACAGCAAATGACTGCATGAAGGCTGCTGCTGTTCATTGTCTCAGACTGTGCTTGTTTCGCTATTTCCAGTTACCCTCGAGAAATACCTCAAAAGGCGTTCATGTCTAGTGTCTCCTACTCTTGGCCTAGAACTTGTCAATCTCTCCTCATATTTGTATCTGACTTTACTTTTGGTACAAATCTTCCCTGCTCCTTCTCCCCCTGTCATGCTTCATAATTATAATTTAAGGCTCTAGGTTTGATTAGCAAGGTCAAATTTTGATCCCAAGGAATTGTTTTTACAGAGGAATTTTGATGGGAACTTTCATGAACAGGTTTTGTCTGGTTCCAGTTTGGTCAAACAAAGTTGTTCAAATACAGCATTTTCAGTTTTCTTCTGAACTCTGAGGGATAATTTGAAGCACAATCCTTTTCAGAGTGCACTGATACTGTCAGGGGATTAACTTTCCTCTCCTACTTCAGAAACACAACAGAGAGTCAAAGCTCCAGAAGCAGGGGAATTCGCACTTTCATGAAATTAATGTTCAGTGAAAGTGACCTTGATCTCCCTCTCCATGGAGCTGGAGGATATGTAAACGGGCTGAGAGGATTTTCATAACAAGTTTCTCAAAACCAAGAAGAGAAGCCAAACCAAACACTTAAACAAAAGACTAATTGGATTACATACTTTTCTGAGCGCACACAAGGGACAAGCCAATACTGAACAAACCCTGTCAGTGCAGCTACAGCCCCTTTGAAAGCTTATTTTCACCCCTGTCCATTTATTTGCTTGTTTATTAATGTTTGTTCGTCAGTAGGATCACACAAAAACTACTGAACAGATTTTTAGAAAACCTGCTAGAATGATTGGACATTGGCCAAGAAAGAACCCATTAAATATTTATATGGATCCATTTTTTATTTTTTTTTAATCTTTGTCTTTACAATTTTGACATTTTCACCAATTTTTCAGAGAATAATTTATGGATCCTGATAAAAAGAGGAGGGGGATTGATATGAGTTTATGTTATTTGCTGCAGCTTGATTTAATGGAAGGTTGGTGCCTTTGACGGAGGTATTGATTTCTAAAACTGAACACATTTCTTAAAGGGTCAACAGTCAAAGCTTACTGTTGGAAAGTTTGATTTGAAACAGTAAGCTGTAGTATTTCACAATTTTATAAACACATATGGCAGCGTACATGCTAGCAGAAAGAATCAGAGTTCACAATCGAGAACAGTTTTTAATTAGTCAAAATATTTACTTGAACATAAAATATATCAACTGAATCATTAATCAGACACAGGACTGTGATGAATGTATATGTTGCACGTCTTAAAAAAGAAAAAGAAGCACTAAATTTCTTTCTATTCTTACTTCATTTCGGACTCATGGATTTATATCTGTACAAAAATATGATAAAGTTCAGAACAACAACAAAGAAAAACAATCTTCACACTTTACAAATCTACTGAATATAGATTTAGACCTTTACAGATACATTTTCCTCATGACCTGGGTTCTGAATTCACCTTTGGCTTTTTATTTTCATTCTTTAGCCTATTTTTATTATATGACTCTGAACTTACGGAACTTGAAAAGAAAATACTTTTTTCTCTTTTCTAACATCTGATCTTGGTCAGTCATTTCGTTAGTTTGTGGGTTAATTGACCCAGAAAGGGGAAATTCAGTTTCACAGCACAATAACCCACACAAACCATATCCTTAGAAACAAACACTGGAGCGAAAACGTATGGCTTTCAACTCTGTTCTTCCTTCTTTAATAGTTTCCAATTGCT